CCATTTGCACATGCAAAATGTAGGCACCCTATATATAGAAATGAGCAAACCAGTGATATTTTTGGGAGCAGGCTAGCAGGCGGGGCCCATTACTTACACCATAGGAGTCTACACAGCACAAAACACTGTTGCTGTATGTAGGTTTTATTTTATTTGTTTTTTATCTTATTGTCAGGGGACTGCCTTCAGAACAGGGGAGGGACGCAGGGGGGCCATTGGGATACAGAGAGCCTCTGAAACTTCTGAGGAGCAGTTCCTCTTCAGGGGTTGGGAAAAGCCACACCTCCAGTGGAGAAGAGAGGGAAGGGGCCAGCCCAGCGAGGAAAGGGCTCAAGGATGCTGCTGAGAGCCCCAGCGCCTCACCTCGCTGGGCTGGCCAGGAGGGACGCACGCCACTTCCATTGCCCAGCTTGCACAGAGGGGTGAAACGCAAGGAGGGGAGGCGGAGGCTTGGGGTGCCTAAGTTCTTAGGTTGGGGGAGAAGCTGGAAGGGGCCACTCCCGGATTCTGCAACTGACTAAGACGGCCATGAACTTTGTAGTTCTGCACTGTAAATAGTTTGCACAATAAAACCTGTAAATGGCAGGTCGGAGTTCTGCCTGGTTACTCACGAGCAACCACCATCAGCATCTGACACTTATATTTTGGAAATGTACATCCAGGTCTTTTTTTTCTTTAAATTTGTTTGGGGCCCCCAAGAGAGCAGGGCCCTAAGCTATAGCTTGTTTAGCTTATGCGTAAATCCAGCACTGGCTACAGGGACTTCTGTCAAAGCAGGTACAAGAAGAATTTCCCTCATAATAAGATCATTAAGCCCAGCACCTAAAATTACCTAAACGGGTCCCTCTACTTTCTGCCAGGCGCAGGGAAGCGAGTGATGATAGATGAGCCCCTCGTGGGACCTCTGGAGCAGCAGCTGCTTCCCAGCATATAATTTGCTCCGCGGTCGAAGGCTACTTTGTAAGCATCGATTGTAATCTTCAGAACAGAACATGTTTCACAGCTTTCAGGTTTACTAACCACTTGTTCAAGGACTTAAGCTTTGCGTGCTTCTCCACGCCAGGTAGCTGAACACAGAAATCAATCGACAGGAGCCATGAACTACCAGGACTTCTAGAGGAGCTGGAGGGAAATATGCTCTCTTCCTCCAGAAATATGAAGATATGTTTGTTTATTGCTTTTCCAGAGAGAGAAAGAGAAGGCTGCTGAGTACAAGTGCAAATCATAGCTTTCTCTCCTAAGTTGTATATCTGAAGTCTACCTACTTAATAGAAATTTTGTCTTCAAATGAAAGAGAATCTACCCAATTGAAACTGTATAAGATGCATTATTGTGGGGTTATGTTGCACATAAAAAACATTTCACTTAATAATGCCTCACATTTTCTTAATGCTAATAAACTGAGCGAAGAGAAGGAAATTAAAGCTGTTGCTTTTCTTTTCATTTCTTGAGGGGTTAAAAAAAAAAAAGTACAGTACAGTGGTACCTCGGGTTAAGAACTTGATTTATTCCGGAGGTCCGTTCTTAACCTGAAACTGTTCTTAACCTGAAGCACCACTTTAGCTAATGGGGCCTCCACTTGATTTCTGTTTTGATCCTGAAGCAAAGTTCTTAACCCGAGGTACTATGTCTGGGTTAGCAGAGTCTGTAACCTGAAGTGTATGTAAGCCTAGGTACCACTGTATGTCTTTTTGTGACTAATTATGTACCATGCTCAAACCAACATAAGTTTTATTGTCCTAGGCTAATCTGGCTTTGTTCCTAACACAAACTTTATTGTTATTTCACCAAATGAGAAATCAAAGCTATCAGTACAATAAAGGGTCATTAACCTATTCTATTTTTTTGGAGAGGTTTTTTTTTGGGGGGGAGGGAGACAAAATTCTGAGTCATCTTGCATGCCATGCTTCTGGCTGTTTTACTCATGTGTAAAATGTGGTTTTGA